ACTTGGTACGTTCGTTTTTCTCTGTTTCTCTTTAAAGTTTCGATCTTTGTTGCTTGTTTGTGATGGGATTATATGTCTGGTTTTTCGATTTGGACTTTATGGTTCTCTTGATGGTTTCATTTCTCTGTTCAATAGAAAACTAGTAAAAGGAGAATAGGCACCGTGAATTATTTGGTTTTTGTTGTGAATTTTGATGGAGACTGAACAACTGTCCAAATCTTGTTCTTTCACCATCAGCTGCTTGGTGATTGGATCGTTTCTAAGACCTAATTCCTTTGCTTGCAAGGCTCAAGGGGCTGGAAAGATTTTGAATTGCTTTGGGTTTTGTGTGGCAGTAGATGCTTGGTCTGTGATTAATGTCACATGAATCCTGTTTGGTATAGACTTAGTAGTGTCCATTAAATGATGTTTATCAGCCATCATTTGTAGTGTTTATGGCTTATTCATTTTCACAGAATTGCTATTCAAAATGTTTCGTCGCAAGCATACCGAACAAGAGAATAACGAGGTAGCTCTTAGAGAGGCAAAGGTAAAATCTTTTCCAAGGCCTTGCTACTGATTTATCATCACCTAGTTGATTCGTTGAAAGTAATGTTTCTGATCTTGATGATCCAGTTTAAAGAGCTAAAGTCTCTCCTAGGTCAGTTATATGGAAGGAGTTCATTATATTGTTCAGATGCGTGTCTGAAGAGATATTTAGAAGCTAGGAATTGGAATGTAGACAAAGCCAAGAAGATGCTCGAGGAGACGCTGAAATGGAGATCGACTTTTAAACCCGAGGAAATCCGATGGGTAAGTATTATAAAGTGCGTCCTGTTAACAAATCTTGGAATCCTTTGGAGAATTCTTGCGAAAAACTTACCGGTCGAGGCATGCTTTCTACTAGGATGAAGTTTCAGGTGAAGGTGAGACCGGAAAAGTTTACAAAGCTGGATTCCATGACAGAAGTGGAAGAACGGTTCTTATACTCAGACCGGGCTTACAGGTTTCTAAAAGATCATCATCTTCTTAGTTAATAATATATTAGTGTTGAGTTAACTTCAGGACACAAGATAAACATATCCATTTTCATTGAAAACTTTTGCAGAACACAAAATCGTTAGAGAACAATATGAAACATTTGGTGTATCTCATTGAGAATGCTATTCTGAATCTTCCAGAGGATCAAGAACAGATGTCTTGGCTTATCGACTTCACGGACTGGACATTAAGCACCAGTGTACCTATTAAATCTGCGAGAGAAACTATAAACATTCTGCAAAATCATTACCCAGAGAGACTAGCTGTAGCTTTCCTATACAATCCTCCAAGACTCTTTGAGGCATTCTGGAAGGTTAGACAAAACCATTCTTTGATATAAGACAACTTCGCGCGTGTTTGTTTGTCTACGCAGAAATGAATAATGTATGTGCAAGAACATGATGGCA